CTGCCAAAGTGAGAAACTTCACATTTTTCCACATTATATTTCATCAGTCAGATTTTTGCCCAATCATTTAGCCTCTCTATATTTGACTTAACATGTTCGTGTCCTCCTCACAGTATACTTACCTGCCTATCTGAGTCATCTCCAAAATTTGCTATAAACCTTCACTCCCCTCATCGAAGTCATTGTTTAGTACTAAACCTGTCACATTTGTCCAATCAGAAAAAGACCCACTTTTGAACACTCTGTTTTCTGTCAGCCAGGCACTCTTGTATACATGCTAATATGTTACTCCCTACATCTTGAGCTCCTACTTTGCACAATAATGTTATAGGTGCCACTTTGTCAAATACCTTTTGGAAATCTATGTCGACAGGCTCCCTTTCAACCACAGCAAATGTTACTCCTTCAAATTTCTCCAATAAGTTGGTCAAACATGATTTCCCTATCACAGAAAGACATTTTGTCTATCATACAAATAATTAATGTGATATATGAATTTCAATGTTAGCACAATGCTAGGTGCAAAGATCATGTGTCCCTAAAACAGATGGTTCTTATCAAAAATTATGTTCTCTTGGCTGCTCACAACAGGCAACATACTGACTGTACACAATCAGACTATGAATGCAACATTTAAAGGGCAGTGTACAATGTTCGATGCAATTCCTTGATTGGACAACATTTCTAAATAATCTTGAGTATGCTGATAAATATATTGACATTGACAGTTTTAACCTAACAAAACAGCTGACAGCCATTCTCTGTTTCATTTCTCAATGCAATGCCTTGACCAACCACAGTCAACTTTTCTGGATTAAATATAAACAACGTTTGGCAGTTAACTGTCAGTCATCATCTAACTGGAGCACTCTCCATAGTAAAACCTCTGCCAATCAGCATATACTCGCCAACCAATCAGCACTCATCTCTAATACTGTATAAACACTACTTTCCATTTATGTTAGTGTTGCTTGAAAATCGTCATGCTGAGTGCAAGTTGAAAAACTTCATCAAAGTATGTCTTTTCTTTAAGCAAAACTCTGTATTACTAAACTTGCTCCTTGTACATTTGAGGAGTCACAAATGGTGCTGAAGATTATGCAATCATCAGCAAATATCCCCAATTCTGAAGTTATGATGGAGTGAAGGTCATTGATGAAGCAGCTGGATATAATAGTGTTTCAAATATTACCATGAGGAACTCCTGCAGAGATATTCTACGGGTATGGATAACTGATCTCCAACACTGAGAACCATCTTCCTTTGTCCTGGGTATGGCTCTCACCAGTGGACAGGTTTCCTCTAATTTCAACTGACTCCAGTTTTGCTAGGGCTCCTTGATGCCATACTCTGTCAAATGCTGCCTTGACGTCAAAGGCAGTTACTCTCAGCTCACCTGTCCAATTCACTTCTTTTGTCCATGTTTGGATCGAGGATTTAATGAAGTCAGGAAGTGAACGAAACCAAACTAAGCATCACTGAGCAGTTGTGACTGCAAGCAAAGCAACATTTGATAGCAGTGCAATAGCTATACTGGAACAGCTTGGCAAGGAGCATGGCCAATTTTGAAGCACAAGTGTTCAGTACTATGTTGCCAGGCCTTCCCTACTGCATACAATTGTGTGAATACCTCTGGTGGGTTTATCCTGCAACGGATTGGACAGGATATATGCAGAGATGATGTTGTCATCTAGGAATTTCCCTGTAAAGTATAATTCCATAAGATATCTATATTAGGCTGTTGCTAGTTTGCAAGACAACTCTCCCAATTTTGAGACAAGTCACGAGATGATGGTGAGGAGGACTTTGTCTGATCGACAGGGCTTGCTTTGCCAATGTTATTTCTAGTACCAAGTTGGCACATTTGCTTTCATTCATTTTCTTACAGTTTGCAGTGGTTACATACAACTGACTGCCTTTCTAGGCCATTTCATTCAGCATTTAAGAGTCAAACACATTGTTGTGGGTCTGGGGACACATGTAGGCCAGACCAGGCAAGTCTTTCTTCACCTTCCCTGGACGACATTAGTGAACCAGATGCAGTTTTACAACTTTTATGACAAACAACATGGTTCTCTGTTCGGTAGTACACTAGATTTTTAATTCCAGGTTTATTGAATCAATTCAAATTTCACAATCTGCCAAGCCAGCATTTGCAGAGCATAAATTTGGGCCGCTAGATTTTTAGTCCAGTGGCATTACCACTATAAGACCTCCTTCCCAAAAGGAAAACACAATGACAATGTTAATAAAATTGACATTCAGCACAACATATTTGCAATGTGTAATTGCATACAAAAGCAATGTCTACATAATAATCCAGAATTGGATTTCAATACTTGTGTTTTGCACAAAAAAAAACTGCTCACGCTCCAGGCTTTTAAAAGGAGCAGATTCAAATCAACAAGAAAATGATTTTTCACAGCTTGTACTTTACGGAAAACAATCTGTCGTTGATGTTTTTTCTGTGCTTCCTTGTTGACCTGATTAGTAATGATTACTGAGTGAAGACAGTTCCAGCTGTTCATTTTAAAATGGTACTTGTATCAGCAGTATGGATGTCCCATTGTTCTGTTATAATAGCCTACCAAAGGCTCTGTTAACGAAGGCTGATCTTTTAAAAATAACTGCTGGCACATTATACACCTGTTCTATTGCAACTGTTATTGAGAACAGAAGTTATAACATCTTCCACCAATAGTCAGTTGAGGAACTGGCAGTTGGAAAAGACTGAAAATCTATTGTTATAATGATAGGCTTTATGCCCAAGGAGAGGAATTAATAATTACTCCCAGAAATCAGCAATATGATGCTGTAGACCATCTGCAGTATTTGAAAATGCCATAGATGGAGTATTTTTTACAGTTTCAGCATTGCTGGGATGAACCAGCAACAAACTGTCTTGTGTTAGAGATAATTTTATATTAGAGAAGTTTACAGCGAGTGGGTTGTGTATTGTTCATATCCTGGGGCTAGCTAGCTTTATAACCAAGTGCCGATAGCTAGCTTTCAATTCAGTATGAGACCAATCTCCAACAATACTAATAAGAGGTAAGCCTATATGTAGGTTATTTCTAAAATTTGCTTGCTGATGCAAATGACTTATCTTTGTCTACATAACATAGTAAAAATATATGGATTAGCCATGGTTCTCCCAAAGTTGAAATTCCATGCTAACTTAGAAGTTAGCTATTGTCTGATACATGAATCAATATTTGAACCATGTCTTCTTTGTCACCAAGTGTACAAGAATCAATAGCAGTACTTCCCCATAACTTATACGCAAGACTATAGCCTTATTGATTTATTTTAACAGAGATATCCAATAGCAACATATCAAACTGATAGCCATTTCAAACCAACAACAAAGAAAGAACTTCCACCGAAATAGAACCTTATGTGACTTGAGGACACTATGATGACCTTTCACCCAGAATAGTACAGATAAGGAAAATTTGTAATTTCTTGAAAACTTTCATTTGTTGCCATCGCAGCTACAGGGGGCACACTCACCACCCACACAGTCATGGTACCAGTGGCATCTTTGCTATTGACACCACAAATAACTTTTTACCAAGAATAGGACCCTCCATATTATTAAGATACAGGTAAAGATATTTTAACAAACAAAAAAAAAAATTCATTTCAATTCAAACCCTGGGAAAGAAATTTGCTTACTGCCCTTCTCCCAATACTTGGCCAGCCTACTCAATGTTTCCTTGGCTGCTGACCATTCACAGGCCTCCCTCCTGCTCACTACTCTGTTCCATTGCCCCTGAGTGAGGGAGCAGGACGAATGGTTGGATAAAGAATGTGAGAGATGGGGTTGAGAGCTGGACAGTCAGGGAAGTAGTAAGCAGAACTTTGAGTGGAGCAGTAGGTGGGTTGGAAAGGAAGTGCTGAATGTGGCTAACATTCTTCGGATGCACAATTATGATATCAGTGGCACAATGCCAACTTCTCATTCCACATGCACATGGATGACAACAGCTGAACCGACTTCCTGATCTGGTACAGTGACAGGAGGCTCACCAGTCTTGAAAGTATCTGCAAAAGCTGTAAACTGTTTTTTTCTAATTAACCTGGAACAGGTGTGACTTGAACTCAGGCCTCCTGGTCCTGGGGTAGAGACACTACCGCAGCGTCACAAGCGGGCCCCTGCAATTGTTTATAAGCATCTTTGAAAATGACATTTAAAAGTTTGTATTAACTGTCATTCGAGTTCCTGCAGGATGTGTTTCTTAAAATAAATTGAAGTGATGCCACAGAGTACTGAACCTATTGTGTGATACACAAGGCAAGAGGTGGACATATGTTTGATCAAACTTTCTGAAATCATGTCTTGCAATACCAAAAAGGGAATAAAAATTTGCAAAAAGGAAGGATGGCTGCTTGTCACAAGCAGAGGAGGGAAATCAGGGGCCAGTCAACATTGGCTGCTCTTTTGTATTTTGTATTTTGTAGCAGTGCACTTGCAAAGCAGTTTTGGTATAAACCCAGCGAGAGATTTGTGTTCACATGTTCACTCAAAGTATGGATGGATACATCAGAAGAGGTCAATTGATGAAAGAGTGAAATTTTAAATGAGAGTTGAGAAAAATGCAATAACCGGATAGTAAAGATTTCATTTAAGATTGATGCATCATAACTGAGCAATGGCCTGTTATAAAGAAAGTAACGTACAGAAATGATTTAATCTGGCATTATCTGTCACAAAGTCTAAAACATTTATCAAATTGCCTTACACAAAAGGAAAAATGCATAATCAATATAGAAACAGCTCTTATCATAAAGGAAGGGAGAGCATGATAGAAAATAACAAAACAAATCTACAATCTCCAGTACTTGTCCTTACTTCTAATGTGAATTGATTATCACACTTATGTTTTTATGTTCTTCATTTTACAAAACCTTGTTTTCAACCATTTGGTGCAACATCAGTCACATCATCATAGATATATCAATACAAACTTCACTCATTGGCAAATCAATGATCTTACCACTTTAGATGTGTCCAGTTTCCCCCTCCTGGCAAGGTCAGTGATATTAATTCCATTATAATTTATAGATTCCATGCAGCCTTTAAAATTTTTTCCATTAAAACTCGGCTTTCCAGAAAATGGCATTCCTCCAAAACTGAGCTTGAAGAATAAATGAAAAGGTGTCTTACACTGTGCATATGAAAAATCATAATTGTCAATTTTTTTCATAAAATCTCATAGCATGTCAATCAAATATAGAAGTAATTTGAAAGCTAAAAAATTCCTGTACTACCATATAATAAATTAGAATGTTTTAAATTTATTATCTTCCACAATCAACTTCGGTCAGCTCATTCTTGGTTATGCTTGATGCCCGAAAAAGAGTTTTCCAAGCAAAACATTTGAACTTTACCAACAGCAAATTGAACAAATTCTATGATAAGTCAGTTACTTTCTTTAAAAAAAAATCACAATATTTATGTCAATAACACTGGGCTTAGAGAGATTTTGTCAATGTAATCAATGTTCTTAACTTTAAAATGCCTTGCTGAAATCAGAATTCACGCCCCTGCTAACCCTGTGTCAGCATAAAGGGTATTTGCCGAAAATTGGGGCTATACTCCACATCTGGGTCCTGCCTGCCGTTTTAAAAGGCCGACCTGATCTGGTTCAGTTACTTAGAGCCACATTAAAAGAAGGTTGAAAAGCAGAAAATGTCAAGATATATACAGAGATTTTTAAATTGATGATTTAAAACAACCTCTAGTACTTGATTATCACCTTATCAGGGCAACCCTTATGTCAACTTCAGAATATGAGGCAAAACAAAACTGGGCAAATAAAAGAATGAAGCAGGACTTTATTTTGTGGCCAAGTTAGGCAGGATGTCGACCTATGCAGGCTCAACATAAATAGGTAGGACTGAAACAGTAAGACAGGTCATAATAATACTCTAGTAAGAGTATTGCTGATATGGCTTGATTATAACAATATTATCCATTCTTTATTAAAACAGTGAGGTCTTTCAAAATTCAAAGAGTTGGTGGTAGCCTAGAGGTGATGAGAGTAATGCTAACAGTTCAGTTGGATTCAAAACCCAAGATAGAATAGGAAAGGTGCATGAATTATGGGAATTTGCAATAACCACCTCCTTTTTAAGCTTTTCACTACTTGCTCACCCAAGTTTCACTCAGCTTGTAGCATAATGAAAATGTCAGAAGTCAGCATGCACAATTTAGTGGTAAGTGAGCAGAAAGCTGAAGCACAAAATGTTGTCAATAATGCACCCATGTGTATTTGGCACAGCACCAACTGCATAAGACTGTGGTAAAACGTTCACAATTTTCATGTGGAAAAGTTTTTTTTATCTTCTAATGCCTTCTTTCAAGAACCTATCACTCAGCTCACATCCCTTTAAACCCCTTAAGCAATTGACCTGAATTTTCCCTTAGCTTCATTCATCAAGAATCATTGCAGTCCTATTTTTTCCCCTGCTGGCATGTGGGTGTGAAAATTTATGTGCCTGCACATGTAAACGACAGTACTGAAGAACATCACAGAAGACAAATACCACAATAGCCAATGCACTCTGTTCCTTGCACCTCCTCCCTCCAGGGTGAAGCAATTTGAATCTAGCACTCAGAAAAATGGAAATGATTCTTAGTACAGTGAAACCACTCCCTAGTGTCCATTTGCTGTATTTGTGCCAATCTGTCAGAAAAATAGCAGGATTCTGTTTGTCTACTGTCTACTAGAAACCCTAAAAATCACATCATTTCTAAAGAGTTTTCAGCAATGTTCCACTGAAACTATGCTAAGAATGCAAATTATGCTAACATTTTGCAACAACTCTACCTCAGTTTTATTTTTGAATTTCGTTCAAAATAAGTTATAGACAAAGGATTTCCATCTACATTACCTTTTTATCATGATACTCAAATATCTCAAAGTACTTTAAATAAAGTGAATTGATTTTGATATAAATGACTATTGAGCAAGCAAATAATTTGTTCCTTGCATCATACTTTACACTATATTGTCATCTACCATGTCAGTAAAGTTGGAAGAAATTATACTTTCCATTGGCATAATACAGAATGTATTACTTTGGTTCTCAGATGCAGGAATTCCTTATTATTGTATTGTTCTTATGGTTGTTAACTTCCTGAGATCAATTATCAGCCAAATATTTTAAAACATGGAGTTCTCAGGTCATCTAGAAAATACCATGATCACAGAGAAGGTTGTCTGTATTAGCTCTGCCATTTTATTCTTTATTGTCAAATGTGAAAACAGACCGTATCACAGGATTTAGGTTTAAAAATGAAACTGCAAAGTTTAAGAAAAAAATTTAAAGCAAACTTAGGAATGATTTGCAGTTCACTTAACATATGCACACTTGTGATGAAGACTGATACAGAATGCATTAACTTATCTTTTGTTTATGTTTGAAATGTTGCATATTTACAATATTTATGTTTTTATTCAAAACTCAATGATTCTTTACCTCGTAGTCAAGGTCCAAGTGGTCAAATTCTCCATTGGTCCTGAAATGTTGAGTCTCTCGGTCTAATGTAAAATTGATATTGCGTCCATAGCGTTCAATGATCACTGAGTGCCAGTGGTGGTCATCCAGAAGGCTGCCAGTTGTAATAGAGGTGTCACCATTGATAGAACTGTGTTGATTGCTACCTGGAGATTAACACCGAAAGACTGTCAGTGGCTGTTCCAATGATGAAATCAGAAGTAAAAGAACCACAAAAATTAAACCATTAGTAAACTGGAAAGTCAAATTAAAGATACAGAGAACTGAAAGTGCAGGATTATCACATACTATGAAATATACAATAAGAAACATTAATACAGCAACAATTTAAGAATAATAGCACAAATATCTGACTACTGAGCAAAAATATTTTTCAGCAAATTTGAATGATCAAAAGGTCAATTCTCCTGCACATGAAGGCACTTTAAACAAAATTTAAAGACATTAGGAAGTTCTGCAGGGACAGAATCGCAAACCAATTGTTTACAAGAGAACAGTTGGAAAATTGAGACTCCCTTTAATGCTGAAGAGTTAGTCGCTTCGCTGTTGGGGATATGTCAAAGGAGACTGAAGATATTTTGTCAAAAGGAAATCACTAGCAAATATTGTCCCACCTGCAATGACATTTGCACTTACACAAATCCTTTGTCCCTGGTTGCAATTGAGGAGGATGTAAATGGTTTGAGGACAAATGTAAATGTGCCCTTCACCTTTGCACGCATTTTTTTCTGGGACCCCTTTTGCATGACCAAACCTGAGTTAGAAGCTATCGTACTTTACAGAATAACATTTAAAGCATTGCATATTCTTTGTCAGTGTTGAAGCTCGACACAGTGGCAAACAAATCCTCAAGCTTCCAGCTAGAAGTTGTCCTCTAATGCTAATACATTTATCAGAAGGGTTAGATAACTTTGTTTCTGAAGTGCATTCTGGCTTATTTCTGAATTATGGCCCTTAATACACAATTGGTTATCACTGTGCTCACCTTCTGAACTGAGTGTTCATTTGTTATGCGTGAAGCCCTATAACCTAGAAAGGTCACAAACGCCATCCTTTGCACATGGTTGGAAACTTTCCATCCAGTGAAAGCTTTAGCCTTTTATACAGTGAGGATAGTAAAAGTGTTAAACTTGTGCAGATAGCCTGAGAGTGTTCAGCTTCTGCACTTGTCAGTCCACAATATTCCACACACTGAAGTTCAGAGGTACAGCACGTAAGTGAAAACCTCAGCAATGGTATCTGTCACTTTCTTGTATGCACAGTACAAGTGGGCAAGCTTCAGGACTCTCCATCGGCCATTTTAAATGGGTTAGGTGCAAAATAAAGTGGAATCTTCCCAGTTGTCTGTTCCATCACATATTTTTCCCTTTAAAATATACCATCACAAACAGACCAATTTGTGAAATAAGCAAGCAAATTGCTGTCAGCACACATGGTGCATACAAGCACCTACGTACTGATACGCTGCATGAATGCAGGGGAGATGGTAGTGCTAGATGTAACGTCACTAAAATATTAATCCAGAACCCCAGGTTAATGAGGACTTGGATTTAAATCCTACTGTGACGGATGGTATAATGTGAAGTCAAAAAGATAGCCGAATGGTAACCCTGACAAACTTCCAAAAAAAAACTCATCTGGTTCATTGATTTCCTTCAGAAAAGGAAATTTGTCATCCTTAATTAGTCTGGCTACATGTGATTCCAGACCCACATCAATGTGGTTGACTCTTAACTGCCCTTTGGTCATTTAGGAATGGGCAATAAATGTTGGTCTAACCACCCACATCCCATAAATGAGTAAAACAAACTATTTCACAACATAATTCTTGTTGATAGAAAAGTAATGCTTTGTCATAAGCCTGTCGTCATCACAATCTTTTGGCAAGTATACGAGTATTCAATTCGATAGGCTCTTCATTGTCAATGCATCCTCAACTATTGAACACGTGTCTCAGTGCGTCATCATCTGTTTCTGTTCATACTTTGTCTTCTTTCGGCTTTTCAAACCATGGTGTAGCATCTCCTAGTCATTATTTCCAAATTAGCTCCAAAGATACAAATGATATCCAATGTAACTGTGACACAGGTCCTTCTCAACCAGTCTGCAGGATGATTACACCTTCCTTTTCCAAAAATTCTCCACTGGCATCCAGCAGGACCATCTTGCTTGGTTCTTACTTACCTAATTATAGCCAGAAAATAACATGCAATGCTTTTTCTTCTCGCTTTTCCACAAGTTCCTCTGGCATCCCAAGGGCCTATTCTTGGACTCCTACAATTTCATTGATATGCTGCTCCTCAATACCATCCAAAAAAAAAGCTTGGGATTTTCTGGAATTGGGTGCTGGTATTGCTCTGGTGAGCAGTAGGAACAGGTCATGCAGTTTATGGACAGTAGTGAATGTTTCCACATCTACATTTACAGTACTCAACTCCACTCCATTACCATTTTAATTTCTTCAAGGACTGCTTACCCGACTTCTTTTTATAGGTTGAACAGAAATTATCTCCAGCCAGAGAGGCCAGAGCATTTGTCTTTGGTTCCTGCTACCAACTCTATTCCCTAATCATTGACCTGAACCTTCCCTCCTTGCAAGTGTTTGACTTTAAAGCAGACAATTTGCAACCTGGGTATCATATTTGTTCTCAAGTTGTACTTCCGATAACATATTCATGCAATCACTAAGACCACTTAATCATACTTCTATAACATTGCTCAATTCTGTCTTTGCCTCAACTCATGAATTGCTGAAACTATTATTTATGCTTTTGTTACTCTCGACATGACTATTACAATATGCCTGCATCCTATGTTCCACCTTCCATCAACTTCAAGTCATCCAAAACTCTGCTCCTAATGCTCCACTTTGAACTAAGTAACATTCACACAGTACCCCTGGGCATTCTGAACTATACTGGCCCCCAGTGAACCAACATCTCAAATTTAGAATTCTTATCCTTGTTTTCAATTTCCTCCATGGCCTCACCATTCCCTACCTTTGTAATCTCCTCCAGACCCACAACCCACTCAGGAATCCGTGTTCCTTCAAAAAAAAACAAAGAACTGCATATGTTGGAGATCTGAAACAAATAAATAACAAAATTCCTGGAGAAACACAGCCGATCTGGCAGCATCTGTGGAGACAAAACATTTCAAGTCCAGTGACCCTTCATCAGAACTCAACAAACAACATATGACAAACAAGTAGCTCCGTTTCTCTGACAGGCATTTGTAATCAGTAAAGGAATCAAGGGTTATGGCGAAAAGGCAGGAAAGTGGATTTGCGGATTATCAGATCACCTAATCTAAACCTATCAGATCAACCGTAATCCGATTGAATGGCTAAGCAGACTAAATGGTCAACCTCAGCTCCTATGTTTTATTGTTTCACGACCTTAAGATCTGGTCAGAAATTAGGAATTCTGAGTAAGGTATAAATCATGAGGGAATTGATTACTCTCCATTTGCCTGTATGTGTACAGCTCCAATAACACCCAAGTAGCTCAATATTATCCAAGACAAAACCATCCGCTTGATCAGCATCCCAGCCACTATCTTGAATTTTCACTCCTTTTTTTAACCAATCAATCAACAGTGGCAGTAGTGTGTACCATCTACAAGAAGCACTGCAGTAACTCAGCCCAACCTCAACTTCCAAATTCCTGACTTCTAACATCTAGAACAACAAGGCGATCATCATCAGCACTCACTCACTAATGAGTATGATTGCCCACCCATGCAATTCAATGGCACTGGTCATGGGTTCTGTGGGTACTTGCGTGGCTGGTGAGCCTGATCTTAGATCCACATCTTCAACCAAACATTTGGCAGGTGCTTCTGGGAGGTGGAAGTGGTCCTTGTCCTTGAGATTATTGGCATTCCTTTCTTCAGTTCCTTTTCCGTGCTTCCTTCTGTGGATTGTCAACTTGCTTCGGAGGTGAGGCTTGCCAAGCCAAGAGATACATGGGAACACCACCACCTGCAAGTTTCCCTCCAGGCCACACAGTATCCTGACATAGAATTATATTGCTGTCCCTTCACTATCATGGAGTTGAAATCTTTGGAACTCCCCTCTAAACAGCATTGTGGATGTCCATACACCAAGAGGACAACAGCAGTTCAAGAAGACAGCTCACCACCACCTTCTCCATGACATTAGGGATAGGCAATAAATGCAAACCAGAAATGCCCACATTCATGACACACATAACCCTAACCCATCTTTTTTTTAATGTTACCTATAAATATAAGTTACCGTTATTAGCTTCATACTCACCTGCTCTTGTGAATTTAGAAACCATAGCCCTGCGACGTAATCTATATTTTTAAACAAATCCCCTAAATCAACAGGCCTCAATGAGGGGACAGAGATGGTGATCATTGGTCTGGGGACGAGTCTGGGGGCGGGGATGTGCAAGGGAAATTCCTACTGAAATTGAGTTGACATCATATGGGTATGCCTCATGCCCAAAGTTGCACAACCGATGCCAAATACAGAAGAGAAGTGATATTTAAATGGCAATGTTAAAGTGTCACAGAAAAACTGAAATTATTTTTCCCACATGACACAATCGACAAAAACTCAACGTTGATATCAAGACCCATGTCTCCATTGTGTCCCATTCCTTCAGGATTTAAAATTTTTTCCATCAAATCACCCCATGATTTCTTCTGATTAAAAGTCACCAGACTTGTAACGGTAACTGTCTTCTCACCACAGATGCTGCCAGAGTTTGGCCAGCAATTTCTGTTTTTGTTTCAAACTTTCATGTCTTTCTTTGCATTCGTATTGCATCATGTCAAGTAGCATCCATAGAAAATCTGTCATTCTATTAAGTCAACATGCTTCCAACAGTGCAGAGTTCAAAACTGCCTACAGCACTCTATCCAAGATCTTATTCAGGGTTTATATCGAATTACTGCCATATCTTTGCTTTTATATATCTTGGCATAAAGCTCAGTATTCTATAAAAGAATAATGGCCTTACCCCATAATTTTAAAATGTGAAAACTGCAGGTAATCCTTTGATTTGATCCTAATGGATGAGATTTCCCAACAGGGATCACTTCATGGAAATGAGTTTCAGCATTCCTATTTTTGGAAGATTTCTACAACCTTTTTTCTTTTGCACTAGTTTAAGTG